GTTTTTATAAGTTATTATTATTATTATTATTAATTAAAATTTTATATATATTTTTATATAAAAATAATTATTATTTTATATTTTATAAAATTTTTTTAATATTATGAATATATTTATATAAAATTTAATAAAATTTTTACTAATAATTTTTTAAAAATTTCATATTTGTTTGAAATAATTTTTATAATATTTTAATAAAAATAATAAAAATTAAATTTTTTTTATATTAAAGCTTATAATTTTATTAAGAAATATTTTTTTATTTTTAAATTAAAATAAAAATTTATAAATTATAATTTAATAAATATTTTTTAGATTTTTTTAAAAGAGTTATTCTAAATTTAAAATTAATATAAAAATTTTTTCTAATTAAATTTTTTTTTATTTAAAAAAAATTTTTATATTAACTTTGAAATTTAAAAAAGTTAGAAAAATATATTAAATTATAATTTATAAATTTTATTTTAATCTAAAAATAAAAATATTTTTTAATAAAATTATAAATTTTAATATAAAAAAATTTTAGTTTTATTATATTTTATTAATAAATTTAATTTTTTAATATTAATTTTAATTATTATAAATATAATTTACTTAAAAAAATTTATATATAAATTATTTTAATATATAATTAGTAAAAAAATTTAATTTTTTAATTTATTATAATTTAATAATAAATTTATTTAAAAAATATAAATTAAAATTTTATTTTGAAAAAATAATTTATTAATATTTATTTAATATATTAATTTTTTTATACTAAATCATATATTAAATTATAATTTATAAACTTTTTTTAATATAAATATAAAAATTATTGTTTAATAGAATTATAAATATTAATATAAAAAAATTTTAATTCTTATTATATTTTATAAATAAAATTAATTTTATAATTATAAAAATTATTTATATTATATATATTTTTAATATTTATTAAAAATTAATTTAAAATTATTTATTAAAAAATATTAAAATTATTTTTTTTATAAATTTTTATTAAAAATTATTAAAAAATTTTTATATATTTAAATTATTTATAAAAGTTTTATATAAAAAAATAATTTTTAAATATATTTTTAATTTATTAAATTTATTATAAATAATTTTTATTATTTTAATATAATAATATTATAATATTTTTATATTAAGTTTATAAATAATTATTTTTTATATATAGTAATTTTTATAATTATAAAATTAAAAAATTATTTTTATTAATAAAATTATTTTTATATTAAACTTAATAATTTTATTAAGAAATAATTTTTAGTTTAAAATTTATAAATTATATATTTTTTTAAATTTTTTTTGAAAGAGTTATTCTAATTATATTAATTTTATAATTAGAATAATTCTTTCAGAAAAAATTTAAAGAATCTTAAAAAATATATATATTAAATTATAATTTATAATCTTTATTTTAATATAAAAATAAAAATTATTTTTTAATAAAATTATAAAGTTTGATATAGAATGAAAATTTTATTTTTATTATGTTTTATTAATAAAATTAAATTTCTAATTTTATAATATTATAAATATTAATAGTAAAAGTTTTTGATAAATTAAAAATAATAAATATTATTTAAAATATAATTATATTAAATTATATTAATTTAATTCTTATAAATTTTTTAAATTATTTATATTTTTAAATAATATATTTTTATTAAAAATTTTATTTATATTTATATTTTTAGTATTTTTATAAGAAATTTAATTATAAAAAATATATTAAATTAATATTTAATATTTTTAATAATTTTAAGAAATTAAAAAATTTAAAAATTTGAAAAATTAATTATTTTTTAATTTTTTAAAAGATTTTAAAAAGTATTATTATATAATACTTTTGAATTTTTAAATTTAATTTAATAAAATTTAGTTTTATAAAAAATTAATTGTTAAATATATTATAACTTTTATAATTATAAAATTAAAAGATTAATTTTATTACTAAATTATAATAAAAAATTAAATTTTTTATAAAAATAATTTTTATTTTTATTTTATAATAAATTTTATAATTTATAATTTATATTTTTTTTTAGATTTTTAAATTTTTTAAAGAAAAAGAAATTTATAATTAAAAAATAATATCAATATTATTAATAAAACTATTTAAAATATTAAATAAAATTATAATTTCTTTTTATTTTAATAAAATTTTTATTATTAATTTTAATATAAACAATATAAGTTTTATTATAAATTAATATTTTAAATTTAAAATTATTAATCAATTTGTTTTATTTTATAAAAATTAAAAATTAAAATAATAATAAATTCAAATTTATATTAAATATTTCAAAAATAAATATAAAAAGAAAGAAGTTTAAATAATTAATTAAAATAAATAAATATTCTATATATTTTTTATCTAATAATATTTCTAAAAAATTTTAAATAAAAAAATTTTTTTATATAAGTAATAATTAATTTAAATTTATAAATATAAATTTTTAAGAAATAAAAAATATTAATAAGATTTTAAATTAAAAGATTAAATTAAAATAAAATTAAAGTTAAAATTATAAGATATAAAGATTTATATTAAAATTTTACAAAAAATTTTTTATTAAATTATAAAAATCAATTTATAAATAAAATTTTATAATAGAATAATTTGTAAAAGAAATAAATATTAGTTTTTAATTTTTAAAAATTTTATTTTTATTAATATTTATTTAAATAAAATAATTAATATATTATTTTAAAGCTTAATATTTTTTATTTTTATTATAAATTATTATTAAAAATAAAATTTTTTATTAATTATAATTACTAAATATATATTTTTTATTATATATAAAAGTATTTAATTTTATTAATAAATAATTTTTTTTAGTTTAAAAGTTAAAGTTCTTTATTTTAATTTATAATTTTTCAGATTTTTTTAAGAGTTATTTTAATTATATAATTGTTAATTAATAAAAATTAATTAATTTATATGCAATTAGAATAGCTTCCTTAGAAAAAATTCAAAAAATATATATTAAAATAAAGAATTCTAACTTTATTTTGAGTTAAAAATAAAAAATAAAATCAAAAGCTTTTATATATAAAAAATATGCATTTTACTAATTATAATTAATAAAAAATTCAAGCATAGCGTTATTTTTTGATTGTTACTATATATAAATAAATAGTTATAAGAAATCTGGTTATATAAGCAAAAAGAAATTTAATAAGATAATTTTGTATTTAAAGTTTTAGAGTATCTTGCAATTTAAATTTATTTATTATAATATAAAGAAAATTATAATAAGTTTCATTATAAAATAAAGAAAATACAATACACATTAGCTATATAGTCAATATTGAATATAATAAATCTTTTGTAATTTAACAAACTTGTGAGTTCATTATTTTTGTTACAAATTTAGGACTGATAATTTCCTCAATATTATAAATGTGTGATATCTGAATAGAAAGGTAAGGTAATATTATTCAAAGAAGTTTCGATATTCACGATTTATATTGTTAATAATTGTAATTGATAATTACTGACCAAAACACAAATTTATGAGCTAATAAAAATTTAAAACATAATCGCAAAGATGAGTATATGAATTTTAATAACAAGAATTATTGTGTTGTGATACTTGTAAAGAATGGATGCGATATTTTTATAAAAAATCCATTGATTCATTCTATTGTTTCAAAACACGGAGAGGTTAATTATAGCGAGTCTTTTTAATTGAATATGTAATTCGTTACATTATCAAATTTCTATATTTGGCCACCATTCCGGAACAAGAAAAAGACAAAGAAAAAAGGTAAACACAATATTTTAAGGCAATTTGAAACAAAGGGGAAAATAATAGTGGCATTATATATAAAAATACAATTACAGCGAGCTTTTTAGTTCCATTTATTGCGAATATGGAAACAAGAAGATACTATTTTAATGGTTCTTTGTGGGGGGGGGGGGGGAATATCGATTAAGCATATATCTTTTTAGTCTCAAAACGCCACTGTTGACATTCCTGGCAATAAAGCAATTTTTATCTATTATAATAATATAACAAGAACAATTACAGTTATACCTCTTTTATAATATTTCCAAATTTCTTGCATATAGAATATACATACTGATACTTCATTCCGTATATGGAGGGATATAAACAAGTGGGACATAAGCAAGGTTATTAATTACGCGAAAACACAGCCGAACTCTCACTCGAAATTGGCTGCACAAAACATCCTCTTTTCAATTGAAACAGGATTCTAACGCCGAGTTAGTCGACTTTGCTTGCGATGTAGATATTTACAAGTCTAACATTTGGTTTATATTGGGACTGGATATGTATTAACGTCACAAGAACAGAATTCTTATAAGTCATTAGAAGAGATTCAATAGTGTAATATCAACTTAACGAATTAACGGCTCTATTTAATAAAGGTCGTTATATCAAATTTATTATATAATGAACTCGTACTAGGAATCTTCCCAGAATCTAATCTATATGTCAATTAGAACGAAATTTATGCAAGGAATTAATTTTTAAGGACAATCTTAATTTAGAACTTGAGTTGAGTGATGTTTTGGTTGGTCTAACTTCTCACATTTTGCGTTTAACTTCACGCAATACAGTAAATCTTTTTGGACTTTCTTGTAAACAACTAATTCTATTGGAGCAAAATATCTCATTTCAAAATGGTTCTACATGTAACTTGTAAATTTGCCCACTTTGGTTTTTTTTTTAATTTCTTTGCAACCAGATATATCTCCCAACAATTCATAAACTTGAATGATATCAAATATGATTGAATTCGCGCAATGATTTCCAGCAATATAATGATGTAAATCCTCTCGAAAAATCTGCCTAGCATTATATTCCGCAGTCAATTAACGCCATTTAATGACGTAGTCAATCTGCTTGACTATTTAATGCAAGGATACTTCATCTGCAAAACCTACCTTTTTTTTCTACATTTCTTACCTTTTGACTTGTAGAGTGACCAAATCATTTTCGCAGCTACACCAAACAAAAATGTCACCAAAATCTAAACAGAATTCTAAGAATAAATCAACGCCCGCCAGTAACCGTAACATCAATGACAATAGCAAACAACCGTTGGAGAATACCACAGCCACCAGCCAGTCGCCTCTCGTAACTGAGAAACCTTCTACGCCGCCGCCGGATAGTGTTTTGGCATCAGCAAACAAGGACGAACAAATTGGAGCGGAGAATGTCAACAAAAACCCATACATTGACGTAGTTCAAAAAAGACTTCGAGCTTTGAATAAGCGACACGTGAGTATACACACCTTTTGGGAGGGTGTTCAAATCAATGCTTTATGCAATTATTGTAAAATATTTGACATATATGCGATCGAACACAAGTTACTTTTATCAAATTATTTCATAATGATGCTTCATTTAATATGTGTGTGTGTGTGTGTGTGTGTGAAGAAAGGGAGAGATTTCTATTCCTGTTTACAAGCCAGACTTTCTACGATGTCTTATATTTTTCTTGCTTCAGTTTAAAAACCTTCAATGTGAAGAAATGTTGAAAAACAAAAGTCAGGCGTTAAACCAAGATCAAATTCAAGCGTTGGAGCGAAAAAATGAAATCGTATTCGCCATGCAAGAATTCGAATTGATCATCAAAAATTTGAATTCAGTCGAGAGCGAAGTACGTCTTATTTATTGTTCTTATTTATTGTTATCATTGACCATAATTAAAAAACGAATTTTTAAAAAATTAATTTTTTCGTAAAATTTGTGAAATATATAGGAACTTAAGAATTTGAAAAAACAAAAGAAGGCTCAAGAAACTGAGCGTGATGAGGCGATTGCAAAGGCGGTCAAAGAAACAGAGGTAATTGTTTTGTTGGAATCCGTAATCATGAAAAAATCGAAAATCAACGTATTTATCTTTATATCAGGAATTCTACGCGAGCTCTATTATTAGTCTCCTTCAATTCTTCCGTCTAGTACATTACCAAAATGTTAGCATTGTTCAAATGTCAGAGATTGAAAACGAGGCGGTCACCTATTTCCGCGATTTACTTAACCATCTCGCAGGGGACGCCTTAATAGAGGAGAAACGAGAATCAACAGTCCGTGAAGTACTAGCCCACGTCAAAAAATTGCACCAGGGAGATGAGGAAATTGTGCATCGGCCAGTGTCTAATAATGAAGTCGAAGAGGAATCTAGTGGTGGAATTTCATGTGGGTATTTTTTTTTCTTTTTTTCTTTTTCTTTGGGTATTTAGATTTCTAAATATTTAAATTTATGATTTTGATTTTTTGTATAGACGCTAATATTCACTCACTTGCCATCAGTCCACCAATATCGGAGAACTTGGACGAGGCTCTCAGTACCGTGGAAACAGTCCAGGATACCACTGCTGAAGAAACCGTTACTGTTCAGCAGAATAATGTTCAAGCAGAACCCGCTTTTTCTGATGATATTGAAAGTATGTATACATATGTTTATATTAGCGCGTATAGTTTTTATTTTTGATATCATTTTTGGTTCTTTTTTCTCTTAGTAATCGAAACTCGCCCTGTGCCTCCTGGTGGCTTCAAGTTTATGGTTACCCCTGATGATTTGCCAGGTTTGTATTAACTTTTTACAAAGTTTTATCGTCATTTCATGTCTCTTTGTTTATTAATTAATTTATTACAATTTTTATAGGTGACAGATCTCCCAATGAGAACACTAATGAAAACACTGTTGAACAATTCAATGACAATTCAACAGAAACTTTCGAGGGAAATCATCAAATGAATGAAAGTCAACAACAATTTCCACCACAAATAACTGAACATCCACCAACCTTTCAACATTCATCTCGCCCGACCATCGCTGAACAGCAAATACTTCCTCCTCCCAATAATAATGATCACCAACTACAACATGAAAATTTCACTGTCAACAACCTTCAAGATGTTTCATCAATCAACACCCAAACCACCCAAAAAGAAGAAATCGTTTCCCAGTTCCAAGAATCGGCAACCGCTACCCAGCAAATTGCCGTTCAACAACATCAACAAATATCAACTGTAAATATAAACAATGATAACATTTTAAAGCAAAACACCACCACAATATCTCAATCATCGCATGTAATTTATGAACAACAAAACTCACCAAACCAACCCCCTAAAACAGTCTTATTGAATAATCCCCCTGATAATAATCTTCATCCACCAACATCAAACATTTCACCAAAGTCACCCGAATCACACATTGTAAATCACTCTTCACAGCATATTTCGCCAAACTCATCAGAAATAAATCATTCGCCACATCAAAGCAATTCGTCAAATTCGGCTCACAACGTTGCTGAACAAAATCCTCAACATCAAAATGTAGGCGAAAAACGTCGGGATCCACGATCTGTTGCCGCACCCTCATCTTCGCACCAAAATGGTCAAAATCAAAACCATTCAAGTCCTCACCTAAAAGAAGGCAACAATTCAAGACCAGAAGAACGCCGCAACAGCAATCCAATACAACGGCGTGGCAGCAATAAACGACACAACAATCAACAGCGTCAAAACGATCGTCGACCAAATAATTACCAGGCACAAAACGGGCAAGAGAATTTCGGACGAAATGGATCACCACCCAGTATTCAGCAAACAGATCCACAAAATCCGGCTCCCTCACTATCACAGCAGCCACAAAATCCTGCAAACCTACCAGCTGCTGCTCAATCGAATAATGCAAATAATTCACCTGTGAATAATTCATTATCTGGATATCACCAACAGGCTGTATTCCCCAACAACAACAACAACAACAACAACAACAACAACAACAACAATAATAATAATAATAACTACAATAACAGAGGCCAAGGACAATATCGAAATTCATACAGAGGCAATAATAACCGAGGGGGTCCTTTCCGCCCAGGCGGAAATAACAATCAAGGTCCTCGACGTGATGGAAACTTCCGCGAAGGTAACAATGGTGGAAATTATCAAACGGGTGGATATCGCAACGGACGTGGCGGTTTCAATAGAAACGGCGCTGGATATCAAGGTTGGTTTCTTTGTTTAATTATAACATTATCATTTATTTCGTATGTTTAATCAGATTTTCTTTTATTAGGTGTACGACACAATACCTCTAACAACAACGCCTTCAACAACAACAACGTCTTCAAACCCCAGACACAGGTTGGAGTAAACGCTCAGTAGGATAAAAATGGATGAAATGAAAAAATATGCTCGATAATTTATATTGATTAAAGATTTGTTTGATTTGCTAAAAATAGAATTCTTAATAATAATTAGTAATTAATAATGATTAACAAAACGAACAATTTTTGCTTCTTGATTATACTTTTAACTTCAACTATTGTATGTATATATATATATGATAGTTAATTAAATTGTCGATTTGTTGATTTGCTAATTAGCATTGGGGGCAGGTCTCCATCAAACGTAAAAATAATAAATATGGCTGTACTGTGTGTAGATTGTCCAGCCGAATACTTGATGTGTAAATATTTATTTATAATATCCTTGCCTATTTCATTCATTCATTAAAATATTAAGCCATGACCACAATCGTTGACACGCAACCTCAACCTGAACCTGAACTAATACAACAAGAAGAAGAAGAAAAAGAATCAAGTCCTACATTATCGGCCAAAGCAAAGGGTAAGGGTAGAGCCATCGATGTAGAAGTGGAGGAAGAATCAAATGGACAAAGCGTTCCTATTTCTCTTCCAACACCACCTCCAGAAATAATAAGCACAACTAAAGACGGTGCTTCGAATTCACCTGAAACACATAATCCAAGAGAAGAACGAGGAGCTACAACAACAAACGGGACTAGTCAGGTTGCTACCGAGTATCATTTAAAGGCTATAGAGTGGTTTGACATTACGACGGGAAATACCAAACGCCTGAAAGTCATCACGCAGAACGGTAGGAAGGAGTAAATATTTTGATAATGGGCGCGGAGGTGTGTGCTCGCGTCGCTTTCGAAATCGGGTGCCTGCCCTTTTACTTCGCTAAATCTATAGATTTCTCAAGTTTCTTGTTTCTATTACATATATATATACCTTTATTTATTAAATCGCTAATGAAATGTTTTCATGTTCAATTATTTAGAAAATGGGCCATGTCCTTTACTTGCACTCTGTATCCTTTACATTTCATATATATATATAGAGAGATTAGTGCGTTTATTTTAGATTTCTTAATTGTTCTTTTATCATGACGCAATTAAATGATATAGGCAACGTTCTTATACTACGTGGTGATATTGAAATTAAACCATACGATCGTCCAAGCATCACATATGAATTACTGGTTGAAATACTGGGTGATTATTTGTGGAATTCAATTTCAAAGGGAGAAGCAGAGGTACAAAGATAATCTCTATATAATTTATTAAAAAGGTATTCCACTGATTGCAATTTCTTTAGATGATAAACAAAACCAACAAAATGGAGGTCGAATTACAACAACAATCGCAAAATAAACAACCGTCGTCATCCTCATCTTCATCAGAACGATCAACAGAAAAAGGCGTAAATGGCTTGAAATCATCAACAGCACCTGGAATACAACCATCTATACACGACTATCATCATACCCTGAATGCAGCGCTATCCATTATTCCGTCTTTGCAAACTGGATTAGATGTAAATGTAAAATTTAATTCGATATTCGGATTTGAACACACGGCTGAATTATCAGTCTTTGATGTGTTTAATGTGGACCTGGTGCATGGTTGGGTGGTCGATCCGCAAGATCAGGATACTTGGGATGTGGTAGTGGGAAAATGTGGTAGTTATAATCGAGCGGTCGAGTGTGTGGTTCGAGGAGATGAAACTAGTAAAGGGCTTGTGGTGGAGAGTTTGGATAATGGTGCAGGTGTTGGAAATTCGGCGAACGCAAGTGGAAATGGAGCTTTTAATGCTGACGAAAGAGATGGTAATAGATTTAATACGCTTAATTTGTTTGCTACTTCTTTGTTTCAAACAATATTTGTACGTTCTTTTTTTGTTTATAGCATTGATTGTATCTCAGTTTCTGCATTTGACTGCCACACAATTGACATATCATGGATTACAGACTTTAGCAGAAGATCTACAACCCGGCCATCTTTGCGTATTATTCAGAAATAATCATGTGAGTTTAGCTTGAGCTTTCATTAGTAATAATTTCACTCCTACCTTCCACGATCCATAAATTTTTGATTCTTTGATTACTATCGTATCTTTTTTTACTATTTTTATTGTTATTAATACTTTTGAATCTGAAATTATATTTCTATTTTTAATCATAAATAGTTTTCTACGCTATATAAACATCCAGGAACCTCAAGTTTATATGTTCTTGTAACTGATGCGGGATTTGTCAATGAACGTTCCGTAGTATGGGAAACATTGACTGATGTCGACCAAAGTAATTCTGAGTTCTTAAATGCCCAGTTTCTTAAGGGAAAGGTTGTTGCCGATTATGTAGATCTTACAGAAGAGCCACATGATTCGACGGGTGGTGGTGACCAAGAGTAAGGGTTTCGAATTTTGTTCCTAGTCACAATATCGTCGTTTTTTTTTTTGAATTCGGAGAATTCTTTGGATATTTTTTTGATCTAATCTGTTACTGAATTATGTTATTCTTCATATAGTTATGCTCTCGCTCTAACTCTTCAACAACAAGAAGAAGAACGTGAAGCAGAATTCCTTCGCCAGCAAAACGAAAAAAATCAAATGATTCAACAACAACTACAAAAACAAAAACGAAAGGAACAAGAGCACCAAGTACAAAAAAAAGGCCAAAAGTCTTTCTTGAGCGGATTTCGGGATCCGGATCAACAACAATCAAAGCAAGGACGACAGCAGCAAAGTAATGGCAGTCCATCTGATAATATATCACATTCATCTATTGGAAGTTCCATCGATACAGGATCCGGATCTTCGTCGGAAAAGGAAAGAAGAAAAAAAGAGAAATCAAAGAAGAAGAACGATTGTGTCATTTCATAATTTTAGTAATATAAGGATGGTTGGGTGGGTTGGTTGGTTGGTTTTCTTTATAACAGGATAGGCGAGAAAATATAATATTAGAAGACACTCACGCACACACTAATTCAATTATTCAATCACCTTGCTATTATCTGCTAATTTTTTTATAATTATTATCAAAAATCAAACTTTTATTTTGTTATGTTTTATTTATTTAATACATATCAATTGTTTTGGATCAGACTTTAAAATAAATTATCAGACACGCTGGAACTTGGTATATAGAGTACACCTTGCGTTCCGTAAAAATAAAGTTTTATTAAAATTAGCATTTTGATACCACTATCGCACAATGTTAGATAGCTTAACACTCATGTGCAAACGTGATCGTGATCGTTTATATAGCTTCTTACGCAGAATGAAATTGAATGTTAAGAACATCAAGAATACAAAACTCGAGACAAATCATTCCATACTACATAAATCAGACTTAGGTAAATAAAATTTCAGATTTTAAATTCAGAAGCTCAAGGTGGGCAAAAATATTTATTGTGTTGTTTTTAATTAGCATTTCATCATGTAATAATTATAAATCAAGCTCTAAAACATATTGTTTAAGACATAGTTTACACTGGGCAACGGTCTTGCGCTGTGTGTAAAGATCCTGCGCTTGGTAATCATTAAACATTTCCTTTGGTACAACAAAACAAATTCAATGTCCGAATTTTCATCTATGTTGATAAGTTTTTATAAACATTTATGTTGAGAGGATGATTCTTGGAAACAGTCATTTGAAAGAATATGTTGGGATGAACAATCGTGTCAACATATACATTATTTTTTTGAGTCGGTACACAGTACTTGTTAGGCGCAATCGCCTCGATATCACAAAACAATAATTTATCCTTTATTATTATATTCAATTTAAATTTGGAATTATCATTCCTAAAGCAAGAAAGATTTTTTCCAAATAAAGGACAAGTCTTAAAAGATTCTCCACTTAGTAACTTCTGATGAGCGATCCGCTCGAATATAGCACCTCAGAGCATATTGTCTGATGAACTATATTTCACAAAATTCAGCAATTGATTCCTATGATGCGCTGTAAGTAAATTACCTCTTCAAAAATGTAATCGGATGCAAATTCTAAAATCGACATTGTATAGAAAAATCTCATATCTTTTTTCATTTCTGGTTTAGTTACTAAAGACGTTTCTGATGTAGAAGACCCTCCAGACATATTCTCTACTTCACCTTCCTCAACTTGTGATACATTATGTACAAGTCTGTGGCTGATAGTATTATGATCTGTAATTTCTCCAACATAGTTCAATATTTTTCATTAACAGTGTTAATGGCCTTTCAGAGAAGATCATGTTGTTCATCATTGAGTGCATAAAACAATGTATATCAAGGAATCCCACCTCATTTATTATGCAAGTCTCGAACCAATTCTTGACTAAGCTCAGGAAAAAGTTTACTTTTGCATTTTTCGGTTTCTACCCAAGATCACACTGGCATATACCGAATAATTTTACCAAGCTTGTCAAATCTATGGTAAAAACGCGTCTCTGGCGAACAGATTAGAATCGTCTTGGCACGGAATCTTGACGGTTCTCGGCCATCAATTATATACCATACTTCTTTATTTCCCAGCGATCTTTAAATTCATGAATATTATCTTGGTAAGGACTATAAACAGTTTCTTCACTAAAAAGAATCGGTGATTTATTATATTCATGATATATAACTGTTTCATTACGCACTGCGAGCTGATGAAGTAGGTAATAACCAAAGAAGGTTTTCCCAATTCCCGGGTTCCCAGTAATACGTAGACGCCAAAAGTTGCCATCCTCAAGAATGAGCTTTGATAAGTGGATATAGCAATCACGGACAAACAGAATGAATGTATTAGAGCTTTTATCTTTTATGCCTGAGATATAGGAAACATCTTTGGAAAACAGAAGAAACTGGTCTTCTTTTGATGCGTTCTTCAAAGCATCCCTAACCCTTCTCAGCTTTTCGTCATCAGTATCAATTTTTCTTCGCCTGTTAGGGATATCTATATATGTATTAATTATTAATTATTAACAAATTTTCTTGGTTTGATTATAGAATAGTATCCCCCTCCTTTTTTTTGCAATAAAATCCGATAACCTGAACTTTTCATATCTGCACCAGAAGCAGAACCAAACTTAATACCCTCATTTTCCAAGACAATGTTTGACTGGAGTCGTACTTACCTTGCTCTTCGCCCTTGATTTCGTTGACTAAGTCCGAGATTATTTTTGCGGGTCCTAGCTGCAACCCACATTCTCGAAGTTCTTCTTTGCTCAAGTTGAGGAAGTCTGAACCGGTGATCTCATTCTTCTCGATTATTTGGATGTCCCCATCGTCAAAGTCTAACTCATCTTTATTTTTCTGCAAGAAATTAATAACGTTAACTCACTTCCATTCCTCAGGAAAATATTACCAGACATGACTATTTATATTTTTTTGCTTTGCTCGAATGAAAATAGTAGCCAATAAGAGCAGAAGATCTTAGTTTCATCTTTGAATAATTACGTATATACATGTAACTTTATTCGTGCGTTCTGCAATTTTTTTTATTAAGAAACTATCGACTTTAGTAAATTAGTTATTGTTAGGTCGAAAAAGTATTTTGATTAATACTGTTATACTTCATATAGTCTCACTTTTTGCTGCACTTATAAAGAAGTGGGGGGGGGGGGGTATTTTTTTACAAATTTAATAAGAAATGGCGTGCTTATAGAGATTTTATATGAACTTATAAAGGTAGGTATGACGTTAATGATTGGTAACGGTACAGTAATTCAATAATTAAATTTTGTCATTTTATTTATATTCAATTGAATGCGTTTCTTTGAATCAATAACTGTTGATCAATTAGTTACCATCACATTAACTCTTCCATCTTCATCACAAACTCTTGTTGCACCATCCGAAGATATCCCAACAACCTTTCTTTATCGAGATTCGAGGAACGTTTGATTTGTAGCAAGTGTTGTGTCAACTATTTTTTTGCTTAATGATTAATTGATTAGCAAGAACAATAATTATACAATAGATGAAAATACCTGAAACAATGCTTTTCTACGCTGCCTAATTTTATTTGAACTTGACCTCTCTTTGCTAGCATCGATCATATCTTTCAACTAGCAGAAACAGAAAAATTCATATTCACTATAAATCCTTGGGAAAAAAAAATGAAATGATCACTACAAACCTTATGCGACACCTCTGAAGCTTTACTAATAACATCTTCAGGCAACCCAACAATCTGCCCAAACTTTAATCCTGTAACAACAATTAAAATTACATAATGGACAATTTCTTTTCATCTACCGTATTCATTTATTATTACCATAATGTTCATCGTCATTACGTCCATCGCAAACTTTATACATATACTTCATAGCGAACTGATTATCTTGCGCACCAATCTTTCAAGAAACAATTCATCCTTGATTTTGTCACTTGTTTTATTGGCAAAAACCATAATAAGGAATAAGAAGAGAGAGTCAAACCTCAACTTCCAAATGTAAATTGACCACGTTTGGGAACACCGTCAAGCTTTTCGTTAATTCATAAAAATGAGTCGCGAAAAATACAAACGCCTTGATTTTTGAACATCATCATATCATTAAGATTTTTATCGAGCAAATGAAATAGCATGGGTCCCACGCATTCACTTGCACTCGTTCACCTTTGTTTTAATAAATTCTTCACAAACCGCATGAGTTATTCCTAATCCATCATGAGTCGATGTCCCTACAAAAATTAGGAAATAACAAATTAGTTTAACACACTTGAACTTTCTGACAAGATTGTACTTCTGGTTATATTAACCTCGACCAAGTTCGTCCACAATTACCAGACTATCATCCGTTATATTCTGTAATATATATCCAGTTTCTCGCATTTCCATCATAAACGTGCTTGCGTTGCTTTCCATATCATCGTCATTGCAAATTCTCGTAAAAAGCTGGTTTTTAATGTAATTAAGAAAAAAAAGAATTTGTAAAGAGCGACGACGAAAAGATTACCTGATCCACAATACGAAAAGACGCGTATTCAGCTGGAACACTATTCCAATTGAAAGTTTAATTAACTTATCATAAGAAAAAAAAAAAAAGGTATTGTTGTAGTATCATTAAGTATGATAAATACAAAGATCCGATCTGTGACATGATACTAATCAGCGCAATTTGTCGTAGATATGTGCTTTTTCCACTCATGTTCGGTCCGGTAATCAATTGAAAATTGTTGGCATCACTAGCATAAGTATCGTTTGGCACAAATTCTTCAATATAAAGTGCTTCGCGCATTGGATGTCGTCCCGCTTTAATCACAAGTGTATCGGTGAATTCTGGCCGTACTTTCAAAATAAAAAATTTAATTATTATAATACTAATACTAATAAAGATAGCATTAGGCTAAATAACTAAAAGGAGATGAAAAAGACCATAATTTGAAATAGTGCACATATGTGCAAAAGAAGTCAACATATCGAGCATCGCGATGGATTCGGACGCCTTATAAAGAACACCGATGTTTTTTCGAATCTCGGAGATTAAATCCTCGATTGTCCTATCAAAAATCAAAAATAAACAATCTTTTCAACGGTCATTGTCATCATTCTCGTTATTCTTACTTGTCGGACATCAAATATACTTCGGTCAACGAATCATTAATTTTTGTGTTCTTTTTCATCTACTTTTTTCAATAATAATTAGTAAAACTCAATTTTATTGTTCGCGCTGGTTGCATTTAGATTTCTCACAAGTTCCAATGTGGTGAAAGTAAGTGCTTTTCGCTTTTTCGATACGTTGATAAAGACTAATGGAAGTGCTTGATCTTGAAGATTTCCGATGGATGTCGAGAGACGAAATCCGGTAGCGGGGCTGAATTGTATTTTTAACGGGATCTTATATTGCTCTAATTAGATTATATAGTAAATTTGGTTATTTTTATGAAATTTAATTCGTTTGTTAAACGCTGACAACAGATTTTTTTACCAGTATAACCATTTACGATTTCGTAAATGTCGTTTATTGTTTCTTTATAAGTTTGTCGAGCTAATTTGACGAATGCCAGTGGTTTTTAACGGATTCACAACAAATAAACTCGGATTCAGGAACATACCAACATCCAATAATCCGTTAAATCCTGCCTTTAAGGAAAGAAAAAGAACAATTACTTAATCAGGAAAAATAAACACTAATTAGTATTTTTTTTGCGAGGCGGGATTACCTTAACAGCATAGCAACGTTGATTTCTTAGTCCAAGAGCGCCTTTTTGATATGTAGCATCTTCATTAATCACTTGATCGATGATTTCCTCAAAGGATTCGAGTCTTGGATCAGAGAGTAACTATTAAAAACGAGCATATCATTTATTCCAATGGAAATCGAATTGAATATAAAATGAAGTAAAACACAAGAACAAATACCCTGTAAATCGCAACCAACAACGAATTTTCACATCCGACCAAACATTCTCTTAATTTTCCCATTAGTTTCAACGTGTGTTTCAACATTATCACGTTATTGATGCTTTGTTCGGCGTGTTTTATTGTCGGTTTACGTGGAACTTGGATCAACTTTTTGGGACATAATTTGAACTTAGGTTTTTAATGAGTTATGTGTGAGAACTAAGAAATAGCGGTTACCGCTGTTATGAGACAATCGATATCTTGAAATGGTCTCAGCGCTTTAAAAAGGCAAAGAAATTTTTATTTACCGAAAAAACAGCATCCAAATACATAAGATAAATTAAAATTCTGTTTTACCAGTTTGTGTCGAGAAAAATTTTTCCTACGTATAATATATTTAGATTTTGATTTATAGCTTATTATTAAAGTTAGTATAAACTAAATTTTTATCCCATATACCTCATTTTCGATTAGTTCTAACAGAAATAAATAGAACATGATTAGAATACATAGTTTTAACAACAACAGGAATAGTACAAATTGGGTTACCTTCTAAGGAATTTAATCTCGTATTAATAATATCAACATCTAGTAACGTTAAAACATTTTAATAGATCCTAATTTCCAAGATATTGTAACAAAAAAAGTCACAAACCAGTCGATGGCTGTAAAATATTAGTCCGCAATAATCGTGCTAAATGCAACGTGATAAAAAATAATGTTATTAAAAAATCGTCAAATTAAACTAATTTCTGTTTTTCGTCTTATAAAATTATAAAAAAAAAATCCTGCCTCCCATTGGTGTCCTTGTATAATTTAATACACCTATAATTGCATAAGCGTTGGGAGAAAAAAAATTTTAAACAGGCCGTTAGCGAGATAAATTTAAAAATAGATTAATAAATACCATAAAGCGAATGTTTACTACGAGGGTTCGTGATATTAGTTATCAATTCTAAGTTTCGCGCTGAAGCACAATCTTTAAAATTACGAAATTTGATTTTTATATTTTATTGCGAAAACTATCTTTGATATATCGATAAAATCTACGATATAAGTGTACCTATCATCATTGTTCCTAAAAAAAGCAAGACGGCAATATTTTTTAAAAGCCGAATAATATTATAATTCACCTCTTGCATTTTAATGCATCACCTTCACATCCTTGATATTTAAACTGAATAGAATGATCCGTAAAAAATATATTTTGCGTGCTCTCAATATACCTAAAAAAAAAAAAAGTAAAATATTATGTTTAGCTAGTTAAACCCGAAATAATGCTATCATGAGGTAATATTACTTTAAAACAGCTGCAGCCGCGGAGAGACAATAAAATCTAAACGGAATATTTCAAGTCAATTAAGTGCGTTAGAATCTCAAAAAATTTCACAAATTTATTTTGGACGCAACTTTGACGTAAGACCAAGTATCAGAACCGCGGAATCTTCTTCGAGAGCATACTGGCAGAAAATAATTATCTAGTAAAAATCATGATAACGAAAACGGAAATTTTCAATAATATTAATCATTATACCTGTTTAATATAATTCATGCCTAATACACAGAGACGGTTAATAAATTAATTTCAAAACTGCTTTTTTTAATTACAAGAAAATAATCCGAAAAGAATAGTTTACCAACCAACAACATCATTAAAATACTTTCGTCCAATAGGCGTCATTGTTGCGGACTGCATATTTTCTTCGAGTATTTTACAGAGTTTTGATTTTGTTGGTTCAAATGCTGTCGTTGATAATAGAATCTAATTTGAAAAAATAATATTAATAAAGGCGGATCTGCGCATGATGTCCGAATTCGAGAAATATAATTGTTTCAAACCTCCGCTGGATCATACAAATTCATTTTATGCAAGGTTTTAACGTACGTTTGAGAATCAGAAATCTTTAAAAATAAAAAAAATAGATTTAAAACGAAAAAAACATAGATCTTTTAATATCAATAGGTAACCGAAATGTCACCTGTGAAAGTATACACTCGCTAGTTTTTAAATCAATGAAACACATCCCAACTTCACTAGCAACTCCTATTCAAAAAGAAGCCAAAATCAAAAGAAAGTATAAGCTAAGTATTAAGCGACAAGAAAGCTTGATATTTACCTCGCCCCTCAATAACAGCAACAATAAACGAATTTTCACCACTGCCACCGCCAACGCCATCACGAGTGGAAACAGAAGTTTGGGGTCGTCCACGTTTCGAACGAATAGTTTGGTTGGAAGTTGCTGACACACTTGAAATGCTTGTACCTTGTCTCTTTATTGTGGACGAGCTAGTGGCAGGACGACTGTTACTACTTGAGTCACCACTGCTTGCGGTGGTAGCTGGACGAAGTGATGGTAATGATGTTTCCTTTGTTAAACCATAACTGGTAGAATATGGGCTTGAAGAGGTTGAAGGAGTAGAAAGTTGGTTTCGTGTTGGTGTTCCTGTAGAAGCAGACATTTTGGAATAAAGAAGTGTGTGTATACAAATGATGACAGCTTTAAAAAACTTTTATAGATCAGATTGATTATTGATTAATACTGATATTTAATAATTAAAAAAATGTTCTTAAACACTAACTAAAACGTATATAATTCCTTTAGACGCAAAAAAAAGTAACGTAGGATTATATTTACAATATAAATTCGATACTTCATTCTAAATTCTAGTTTATTTGAACATACGGAGAGAGAAATAAACAATTAATTATGATGGTTTGAGTATTTCATGATCGAAGTCGTAACAGTTTGAGCTAATCTCCGGCTATTATTTCAAATAAGTCATAGATGCTTTCATCGACAAATTGAGAATTGAAGTTCCTCTAATTGATGTATGCACTGTACTCGTATCGTATAACACGCATAATAGAAAAACAATATCTAACCAAAAAAAGCTGATATTTGTTAAATAAAAATCTATACATTGACATAAGTAATTAAAGTATACATATAATCAGCGAAAATATAGAATAAATGCTGAGTCATGTATTGAAAATGTTGGATTAACTAGAGACATCATTATTATTATCAAATCAGATTAAAATATTATTTCTGAAAAGAAGTGCAGATAATGTATATTCAATTAAAGAAAATGGTTATATGAATAAGCGTCCAGTATGGGAAACTTTTGTAACACTTATCTACAATATTTCGATTGTTTTACGTCAATAACAGGTTAGAGAGATTTCAATCTATGTAGATTTTTAGTTTATAATAAATTTTCCTTGCATTATCATTACCATGTACATGTAATTATTTCAGTTTTTTTGTTACAGAAACTTTGTTATAATACATGTATATTGGAAACACATTTGTTCGTACACGGTCAATATCAAGTTTTCTATATATATATATATATGTACTGCATAACTAAAAAAAAAAATATAATTTGATGATTTCAGCAGCCCAAGGGATAATGGTTGTGTAACGATGCTTCATGTAATCACAAAAACAGAAAACTATCTATTTTGTCGTTGTATCTGTTCAGTTGAATTTGATTGGTTACCCTGTGTTAGCTAATCAGATTCAAGAGTATAGTAAAAAAATTTTATCTGTCGGTCAATATCACATGTGGGCACATGCCCTTTGTCAATTAGAAATAGTTTTTTGTTATAAAGTTTCCACACTGTATGTATTCAACACTCGAAGGGAACCATTAGAAAAAAGTCACTTGTAATATTTTAGGACTGTTAGTGATACTTTAAATATTCATTTTTTCAACAACGAATAAACTTTTACAATGTTAAATCTTCTCCATATATCACGATAATATCACGATCAAAAATAATGCAACGCTAATTATAATTAGTAAAAAATTCAAACGTTGCATTACGCACATATATATATGTGTGTGTGTGTGTGTGTGTGTGTAATGCATTGTTTATTACAATAACGTCGTATTATTTTAAAACTTTGAAATTATCCTTGATGTTTATTGCGATTAACATCTTGAGGGATCACCGTCACTAGTAAAAATACTGTTCGGAGAGTTTTCTCAGCTTCATCACCTCTTTTGATGATAACATTTTCTTTAACTTATTATCTATTTCTCTTTTTTTTCGGAGAATAAGGGTTGCTTTTATAAATAAATATTTTTCTTTATTTAATAAATTATTCTTTTTATTACGTCGTACTTCTACAATTTCCTTTTTTGTGAAGCATATAGTTATCTTACACATGTATAGGCAAACAAAAGAAATCCTGAGCAGAGCGAATGAAAAAAGACTCTTTGTTTGAACTTGACTTTTATTTATGAAGTTCGATAAGAAATTTCGCCAAAGAATACATCACTATATCGAGTGGATTTTATTAAAGGTAGTTTAGATATTATCCGCTATAAAGGAGATACACGACAGAGTCACTGTGTAATATCTTTCCAGAAAGTAAAATTATTATAAAATGTTAAAATTTAAAAAAAAATCATTTTTTTTAAAGAATTTAATTTTCTAATAAAATTAGTGAATTAAGGAAAGTAGATTAAACATCAAGTTAAAGAATTAAGGTCAATGTTTTAATCAAAAAAGTTCTTTATCCTATTGCTGCCCAATAATCGCAGTAAGCAGTCTCAAATCAAACCATTCAAGTGTCAAGTTACCATGAATGCTTTATAATTAAGCAAACCAATTTGAAGTTTTGTTCACGGTAAAAGATCGAATATAATGAACGGAGTATAATATAAAACGGGGCATGGAATTTATTAGAGAATGATTGAGACATTTGTAAATTATTAATATAATGTATGTTTATTTCTGTTAACGGAGAAAATACACGTATAACAAGAATATGATTTGTAACTGAAATTGAATTTTCTATAGACAGACTGACATACATGTATTAATTTCTTGTTCTTAGTAACAGCAGAAAACAAAATCTTTATCAACAAATGTGTTTTCATTTAACCTAATATCCATATTCGCTTGCATTAGAAACAAAAAGCGACTTTCACTCTAGGAAATGTTCATTTTTTTTACCTCGTGTATAAACTCTTTAGTAATTTAATTTGAATCGTGTGATGATTTCAACACAACTTCCCATTCTCCATTTGCAAAGATATTTAACGTTGGTAATAAAATCCATTCGAATAATCTATAATTGTTGCGTTCCTTATTAGATGTCAATATCTTTATCGCCACTGGAGAATATATATATATCATTAGAAATTTGCCGACAGCGTTCATTTTGTTGACATTACTACAATCAGATCGGCTATTCATTTGTAACTGGGTTTTCAGTTATCCATGACATTTCTATTTTTTGAAAAAATTGATTGTATCAGAAACTAAAACAAATTTTCACTTTAGAAATATTCATTTTTACCTCATGTATAAACTCTGCTTTGAATTGTGTAACGATTTCAACACAACTTTAATTGCATGATTCCAATAAGGATAACTCTCAATCGACCATCCAACCAGGTTGCTCAAAACCTCCTTATGCAAGATATTCAACGTTGTAAAGCTTTCAAAAAGGAATCCATTCGAATATATTTTGTTAGATTGTCGATATCTTTATCTCTGCAAGACAATTCATCCTTATAAATTCGTTTGTGATATACGAAACATTCAACACTGATGTACTCGTTGTGCTGACAATCAGCACTTTACTACAATCATGAGTATTGTGAATTAAAACATTCTATTCTCTTAACAATCAGTACATTCATTACAATGATAAAGATTCGGTTCCAACTTTGAGTTCACTGTATAAAATGCGAATTAGTTGAAATGATAGAAACCAAAACGAGACGGATACATGTAATCGTTGTCGTTATATAGTCACGTGTATGTAGCAGTATGGATCCAATCAATTGGTCAGCCAATTCCTCCGACCTAAGTAGTTGAAAGACACCATTTTTCCGAAGATTCTGGCTGAACTTAAAAGGAGGAATGTGTTATTTGTTCAATACCAGATGTGGTATTGGATGTAAAAGGGAGTCAACAAAATATAAATTAAATATCTGATATGTAAATTGCTGAAAATGAAACAAATCGGAAATTTATAGAAATCTTATGTTAGTATTTTGCTCGGGTAACCTTAAATTGACCCGACATCTTCAACGATCACATGTTGGCTAATCACCTGAGCGAGGATCTCGTGAAAACTGCACCGCTCTAATTTGGAAGATCGATCAGTATACGTAACGTCATTGTTGTTGTGACAAGTATATAAACACTCCATTATTTCAATACTTTGATATTTTTTCTTTTTACTAAACAACATGGATCAAGCTACAACGGACCTTCGACGATATAAACAAGAATCTGAAGCTTCCACTGAAGATAAAGGAAATTTTATATGCAAGAGCATCTGAAGCTTCCACTGAAGATAAAGGAAATTTTATATGCAAGAGCATCTGAAGCGTCCTGCAGTAACCAATTTCAAGTTATAACAGGTACGAAAAAGGCGGATACTTGGAAAATTATTGTAACAAATATTAAACTCTTTTAAAAAAATGATTTGTTTTTCTTTTAAATTTAATTTTAGTAGCATTTTATAATAATTTTTACTTATTTAAAAGATATTAAACAGTGACTTTCATTATCATGTATTTCTTTATATCTTTTATAGTGGTGACTAATTAAGCTCAAGATATAGTGGATAATATCCAAACTGCTTTAATAAAATCCCACTCGTTATAGTAGATTTTACTAATAAATTCTCGATATAATGGATTTTTTACTAACTATAAAGAGTTATACTTATATAAATTTCGAAATATTTTGAAATTGTTATTAAATTATAAAGTACTTTTCAATACTTAACTTTATATTAAAATAGTTCTATTAGAATTTGAAATCCTTATAACAGGATTTTCTTGTCTTTATTTTAAAATTAATAAGCTAATTCATCAATAAATCTTTATTCAATTTATTATATCTTTAGAGCTATCATTTTGAGAAAGCAAAATTGTGTAAATATAGAGAGCTTTTTTACTTAATAATCAGAAAATCCAAATTGAATGACTATAAAGAGATGTAACTATAGAGAGATTTGACTATATAGTATTTTATATTTTTAATAAATTGGAATGGAATCATTGTTTAATTCTGATTTCAAGTAAGAATTAAATCTTTATTTTAATTTAATTAAAATATTTAAATTTTATATTAACATAAAGTTTCAATTTTTAATAATAAATATATATTATATTCTAAATATATTTATAATTTAATATAATATACTTTATTAATTATTAGATTAAATTCTTAATTATCATAACTTAATTTTAAATTAATATATATTCTGCTTTAACTTATACATTATATATTAATAGATATATATTATTTATAATTATAGCTATTTATTATAAATTTTAAATCAATATAAAAAATAAAATTAAAATAAAATTTTATTAAATTCTAATAAAAATCTTAAAAAAATGCTTTAGATTAAAAAATTTACTCTATATTATCTATACTCTAATGAAAATTCGCGAAAAAGGAATCTGTGAATAGTAAACTC